AACAGAAGGGCCACTAGAGGAAATTGTTGAAGAAATAATAAAACCTCTTCCAGCACTAGAAAAAGTTAAGCCTACGGAAGTAGAAGAGGTAAAGGAACAAATAACTATTACGGAGGAAATAACCAAAGAAGGCAAACCTAAAAAAGTCACGAAGAAAAATATAATCAGACGTAAAGGAAAGAAGCAACAGGTGACTGAATTTATTACTATCGAAGAGCAAGGAAAGGCTCCGGTCACATCTGTTACTGAATGTCCAGTAGAAGAAATAGTTGATGAGATTGTTAAATCACTTCCCGCGCTTGAGGATGTCAAGCCTGCAGAAGTGATGGAAATGCAAGAGCACGTAATCCTTACCAAAGGTGTTATTAAGGAAGAGAAACCGAAAGAGATTACAATGAAGAAGATAATTAAACCTACAGGCAAAGAAGAAGAAATAGTTACTGTTGAAGAAAAAGAAAGACTACCTATTACGACAGTGTCTGAGGATCGTGTAGAAGAAATACTCGAAGAATTGTCGGAACCAGTTTTGTTAATTGAATATGTTAAACCAACTGAAGTAGAAGGTGTACGTGAAGAAATCACGGTCACCGAAGAAGTAACTAAAGAAGGAAAACCAAAGAAAATAACTAAAAAGAGGACTATCACACGTAAAGGCAAAGAACAACGAGTAATAGAAGAAGCTACGGTTGAAGAACAAGACAAACCTCCAGTAACTATTATCACTGAAGGTCCTATTGAAGAAATAGTTGAAGAAACGGTAAAAGCTTTACCTGTACCCAAATATATGAAACCAGGTGATGTAGAAGAAGTCCGTGAACAAGTTATTATTACTCAAGAAATAACCAAAGAAGATAAGCCAAAGAAGATAACCAAGAAGAAAGTTATCAAACTCAAAGGTAAGAAACAACAAGTGACTGAAATTGTTACCATTGAAGAACAAGGAAAGAAACCCATTACAACTATAACAGAAGGACCTGTTGAAGAAATAATTAAAGATTCTATAAAACCATTCGTAAAACCATCCGAAATAGAAGAAGTTCACGAACAAGTGACTGTCGTTGAAGAAATAAAGGAAGGCAAACCTAAAAAGATTACTAAGAAAAAGAAAATTAGACAAAAGGGAAGAGAACAACAAATATCTGAAACTATAATTGTTGAAGAAGAAGGAAAGTTGCCAGTTACAACGATTACCGAAGGTCCTACAGAAGAAATAATCGAAGAAACTGTGAAAATTCTGTCTGCTCCAGAATACATTAAACCAAATGAACTGGAAGAGATTCGTGAACAAGTTACTATCACACAAGAAATGACCGAGGAAGGCAAACCTAAGCAAATTACGAAACAAAAGACCATGAAACGTAAAGGAAAGAAACAACAAGTGACGGAAGTTGTAATAGTTGAAGAGGAAGGCAAATCTCCTGTCACAACTATTATTGAAGGTCCTGTCGAGGAAATTGTAAAAGAAACTATAAGAGCACTTCCTATTTTAGAACGTGTAGAACCAACAAAAGTGGAAGAAGCAGTTGAAGAAGTAACTGTTACTGAAATTGTTACCGAGGAAGGTAAACCAAAAATCGTTAAGAAGAAAATTCCTAAAAAAGTTTCTAAAAAAATGTCTGTTCCTAAAGAAGAAAAAGAAGAAGTTCCAGAAATTTTTGAAATTTCTGAACTTCCAAGAAAACTTAAGAAACCAATTAAACTTGAACGTCACAAAATAACTAAAGTCGAAGCCACGAAACTCGAAATACAAGAAATATCTGTAGATAAACCTCAATTTGCACAAATTAAATTGCGTAAAACTCCAATCGTAAAACGACCTGTGGAAAAGAAAGAAAAAATTCCTCGAGTTCTTCTTCGAAGTCGAATTACATCCATAGAATGGCCTCCAGCCATAAAATATTTGAAAATGGAGGAATTTGAACCGAATGAAGTTCAAAATGGTATTTTGTCTCGCAATGTCGAAGAAGCTGCCACTTTACCAAAATCTAAGAAGAAGAAGTTGAAACGTTTGGAAAAGGAAATAACCAAACTAGAAAAGCTGGATCAAGAATTCGAAGAATTGAAAAAAGAATTACCTCTGGAAAAACTTGAAGAGCCTCTAATAGAGAAGCCAGAAAAGAAAGGGAAGAAAAAGAAGCCTGTTGAAAAGGTTAAAAGCGAAAAGCCACAGTTGATGAGAATCAGCATCAAAGAACAGAAACCTATCAAATTGAAAATTGAGGAACCAATTACTCCTTTGTTTGCACAGATTAAACTGAAAAAAGCACCTATCAAATCAAAAAAGAAAGAAGATAAAGATGAAACTAAGTTTCTTAAGGTTTTATTACGCAGTCGTATCACAGAACACGAATGGCCACCATCTATCAAATATCCTATTATTACTGAACTTGAACCTAATTATGTACAGAGTGGTGAACTATCTCGCACTATGGAAGAAGCGTTAAAACTAAAGAAAGTGAAACACAAGAAAGTGAAACTTCCAGAAAAAGAAATAACAAAATTGGAAAAACTGGATCAAGATTTCGAGAAATTAAAGAAAGTTCCATTAGAAAAAGTAGAAGAAATAGCGCCGTATGAACGTAAGCTTAAACCCAAAGAATCTGAAGAAGAGAAACCGAAAAAATTGAAAATAGGCAAAGGAAAACCTCGGCCTGCGGAAGAAGAGGAGCCAGAAGTAATCAAATTAAAGAAAATACCGGAAAAAGTTCCAAGTATTTCAGAAAAACTTACTCCTATTGCAAGAAAGAAAGATGAAGTAGACAAACCTGAAAAAGAGAAAGAAGAGAAAGAATATCCTGAAGTAAAATCATTCGAACCATACGAAATAGAAACAACCGAAGTAGAATTAGAAGAACTAGAAAAACCAGAATATCCAAAGAAACCAGAAAAAGTGCCTAAAAAGATCCCAACTAAGAAACCGAAGAAGGAATGCAAGATACCGACTCAGGAAACTGAGGCTGTTCCAATAGTACCCGGTGTTCCAAAATCAAGAGAACCTGAAGAAGAAGAAGAAATTAAGAGAAGAATTCCTGAATATGAAGCTTCAACGGAAGAGCCAGAGAAAACTAAATTAAAACCTTGGAAGAAACCTGAAGAAGGAAAAGAGCAAGAAAAGAAATCTGAGTATTATCTAAAATTCGTTCCCAAAGACGACGATATTGTCGAGATTGTCGAAATTGTCACGACTGTGAGCACGGAAGAAACACCAGAAAAGAAACAACGAAAAATCAAAAAAAAGAAAACCACGACGAAACGTGGAGACGAAAAACCGAAAATTGTCGAAGAGACAATGATAGAGGAAGAGGGTGAACCTATAGTAACGGTCGAAGAAATTGTCGAGGATAAAGCCGTATCAATCGAATTGAAACCTATACCTATCGAAGAAATCAAAGAAGAGATAGTAACGAGCGAGATTATGAGCGAGGATGGAACAAAGAAAATGGTGCGCAAAAAACGCGTCACGAGAAAACGCGAAGGTAAAGAACAGATCACCGAAGAGGTGGTCGTGGAAGAGGAAGGTAAAGAACCATTAATAGCAACAACAGAACTTCACGAAGACACTACACGAGAAATACACGAAAAACCAAAACACAAAAGACCAACAAAACCAAAAGCTGACGAGAAAGTGACGGAAGGTAAGCCCATTTCTTACGTATTACAATTATACCATCACCATAGCCTACAATTATATTATATATATACGTCAGTTTTCATTTATCGAGCATAAATGATATACGATTTAAACAAAATACAAAATACAAAGACATAATGGACAAATATACTTGATATTGTACTATGTACTACATAATCGGTGTATATGTTTATAAGCACTTTGTTTATACGCTTCTACTATTTTCTATCTTCGTTTATTCGTTAAATAATTTATATGTTATAAAAAAAAGCTTGAAATGAAATATTCTATTTTAAGATCAAATTTAAAGCATTTTATTCTTTTCGCAGATATCACGGAGGAAGTTGTAGAACAGGTAAGATTTATAATCGATTTTAAAATTATTTATATTTTTTATTTTAATTATGGATATAAAATTTATTGAAATTGAAATTGATTTTTTGTAAATAACAGAAAATTGTCGAGGAAATCAAGAAAATACCAAAAGTTGTCAAAAAGATTATTAAGAAAAAACCTCTTAAAGCTAAAGATGAAGTAACAGAGGAAGTCGTGGAAGAAATAATAATAGAGCAACCTGATGAACAAGAAGCACAATCAATCGTGGAAGAACTAGAAACAGCAACAGTTACTGAACACGATGTACGAAAGATACCGAAGAAAAAGAAGGAGGTCATCATTAAGGAGGAGGAGGAGATATTTGAAACGATTGAGACACCTACACAAAAAATTATTAGGAAGAAGATTCGTCCTATGAAGAAAGAAGAAGAAGAAATCGTGGTAGAAGAAATAATTCAGAAACCACGCGAGGAAACGATAGAAATGGAGAAACAAAGAATAGTAGAAGTAATCGAGACACCTACAAAGAAAATAGTGAAGAAAATAAAAGCAGTAGTAAAAGATGACGGTGTTCCTGAAGAGATTGTTGAAGAAATCGTAATCGAGAAATCGCAGAAAGAAAAAGCGAAACCTATCGTGGAAGAAGAAAAGGAAAAGGTCAAAATAACAAAAATTGATCTAAAACAAGCACCCAAAAAACCGGAAGAAATAGTTGAAGAAGAAGAAGAAATAATTGAAACCATTGAGACTCCAACGCAAAAGATCATTAAAAAGAAACCAAAAGATAAAAAGAAGAAGATAGTGGAAGAAGTTATACAGAAAACAATAGAAGAAGCAAAAGCAATGGAAGAACATAAAATTGTGGAAATCATTGAAACACCGACAAAGAAAATAATCAAAAAGAAGAAAGCGATTATCACAGAAGGAAAAACTCCTGAAGAGGAAGTTGAAGAAATCGTAATTGAAAAACCTGTTAAAGAAAAAATCCAAAAGGATGTTGTATCTCAAGAAGGCATAGAAATTACTGAAATTATTACGGAAACTTCTATTGAACAGTTGCCTGAAAAGAAACCAGAAGAAAGCAAGCCCTCAGTTGTGGAAGAAGAAAAAACAGAAATCACGCAGATAGAAATGAAGAAAGTACCAAAGAAGAAGAAAAAACCAATTACAACGATTGAAATAGAAAAGAAAGAAGAAATCATAGAAGAAATAAAACCTGAAGTGAAAAAAGAAAAAGCTAAACCGACTGAGAAAGAGAGTGTTGAAATAACCGAAGTGATTTCTGAAGAAATAACAGAAAAACTTCCTGAAGAAGTTAAACTTATGAAAAAGAAAGTTGCTAAAATTAAGGAAACAGAAGAAAAGATAATAAAGAAGGAAGTAAAAGTAAAGGAAGCACCGAAGGAAGCTGTGCCTCAGACAGAAGAACAGCCAGAAGAAGAAGTACAAGAATTAATTACAGAAAAGCCAAAGAAAACTAAAGCAAAGAAAGAAATCATGTCTCAAGATAGTATCATAACTACCGAAGTCATTTCTACAAGTGCTGAAGAAACGTTAGAAATAAAGAAACCGGAAGAAGATAAAGCTGTAGTTACCAAAGAAAAGAAAGAGAAAGATAAAGTAGAAGAGAAGAAAGTAATTGTGAAAAAGGCTCCTAAAAAGAAACTTATACCAACGGAAGCTGAAGAGGAACAAGTAGAAGAAATAATAGAAGAGATGACACCAGAAGAATTGAAAAAGAAAAAAGCTAAAAAGACTATCCTTCCTAAGGAGGAGATACAGATAACCGAAATGATTCCTGAAGTTAAAACAGAAGAGATAAAAGAGAAAAAACCAAAAGAAGAAAAAGCTGTTCCCAAAGAGGAAGAAAAAGTGGAAGAAAAAGCAAAGATTACGGAAGTTTCCGTAAAGAAAGTACCCGAAGAAAAGAAAGAAAAGAAAGAAATTGTAACGAACGGTGAGATTATTGGAGAAAAACCAAAAATAAAAGAAATTTCTGAAGAAAAACCTGAATTAAAAGAAGCTCCAAAGGCAGAAAAACTCAAAAAAGAGAAACCAAAAGAAGAGGAAAAGAAAGCAAAGGAAGAGAAATTGAAAAAGAAAAAAATACCAGAAAAGAAACCTATCGTGGAAGAGGAACAATTCGAAGAAAGAATAGAAGAAATAGTAGAAGAAAAACCAAAGAAAGTCGAGCCCAAGAAAGAAATTATATCAAAGAAAAGTATAGAAACTACTGAAATTACTTCAGAAACTGTTGCCGAAGAATTATCAACGACGAAACCTGAGGAACACAAAGCAATACCTGTCGAAGAAAAATCAGATGAAAAAGTTACAGTTGTAGAAGTCTCAATAGAAAAAGCTCTAGAAAAGAAAGAGAAAAAAATACCAGAAGAAAAACCAATCGAGGAAATTCCTGAGAAACCAAAGGAAATAAAGAAGAAGAAGAAAAAGAAGGTAGTTAAGAAAGATGATATCGAAGAATGGATAGAACCAGAATATGAACGACCAGTATTGGAACCTATGCCTGAGAAGATACAATGGGAACCAAAGAAGAAAAAAGTAAAGAAACCTTTACCAGAATCCTTGCAGAAACTGGTACCTCAGAAAATCGAAAGAAAAGAGATTAAACCCACGAAGTTAAAATATTCAGAACCTACAGAAACTGTTCAGTTTGCTGCAATTAAATTAAAGAAAGTAGTAATTCCGAAAAAGAAAGAAATTGAAGAAGCCAAATTTCCGAAAATTATGTTACGAAGCAGAATTACATTTGTCGGAGATTATCCACCTGAAATACAATATCCAAAGATAACTGAACTGGAAGAAAATCCAGTTCAAACGGGTATTCTGTCTAGAAATACGGAAGAAGCTCTTGAAATTCTAAGGAAGAAAGTGAAGAAGATTAAACTTCCCAAGAAAGAAGTCACAGAATTAGAAAAATTGGACCAAGAATTCGAAGAATTGAAAAAGGTTCCTTTGGAAAAAATAGAAGATAAATCGATATATGAACGTCCACCAAAAAAACCTGCGGAAAAACCAGAAGAACCACAAAAGTTAATTATTGGAAAAGGTAAGGTGCCGGAAGAAAAGAAAACAGAACCTGAAATGATGAAATTAAAAAAGATTCCTGAAAAGAAACCGGAAAAAATTGAAGAACCGTTGAAGAAACCGGACAAACCAGAATCTGAAGAGGAAGTTAAGCCAGGAAAGAAAGAGAAACCAAAAATGAAATTAGAACACGAAGAATTGAGACCATTAGAATTTGACAAACCAGAGCTCGAAAAATATATGCCCGAAGAACGTGAGAAATCAGAAAAACCGGCACCAGAACCAGTACCAAAACCATATGAAAGAGAGAAAAAGAAAAAACCAGATCAAGAAATAGAACAAATTCCATTGATAAAAGGAGAACCTAAACCACCAGAACCAGACAAAGAACCGGAAGTTAAATTTAGAATACCTCAAAAAGAAAAACCAGAGGAAGAACCGGAAATGATAACATTGAAAGGCTGGAAAAAAGATAAACCTGAGGATGAAGGTGTCAAAGAATTTCCAGTGAAGGAAGAAGAAGAAGCTCCTACGGAACCTAAAGAAGCGGAACAGATCATTCTGAAGCGCAAAGTAAAACCAAAGAAACCTAAAGAAGAAACTCCTAAGGAGGAGGAAGTGACATTCGAAAAACCAGAAGAAAAGAAAGAAGTTCCAGAAGTAATTGAAGAAATCATGCTAAAGAAAAAACCTGAGAAACCAATAGAAGAAGTCCCAACAGAAATATTTATTAAGAAACCAATTGTAGAGGAAAAAGAAGCAGAAGAAGAGGAAACAATTACTGAAGTAACATTAAAGAAAAAACCGAAAAAACCAGAAGAAATTGTTGAAGAAACAATTGTAAAGAAACCAAAGAAAAAGCCGATAAAGAAGGAAGAAGCCGAGGCTGAAATTACTATCAAGAAAGTTGAAGAGAAAGAAGTCGAAGAGGTTAAAGAAGAAGTAGTTATACAGAAAAAACTGAAAGAAAAACCTGTTCCAGAAGAAGTAATAGAAGAAGTTACTCTGAAGAAACCAGAAGAAAAGATACCTGAGGAAATAATTGAAGAAATAAAGAAACCTAAAGAAAAGAAACCTGTGAAGGAAAAAGCTATTGATGAAATCACTGTAAAGAAACCTATTGTGGAAGAAAAGAAGGAAGAGAAAATTCCTGAACAAATAACACTCAAGAAAAAGAAACCAAAAGAAAAACCAGTTCCAAAGGAAATAGAAGAAGAGGTTACATTGAAAAAACCAGTACCAAAAGAAAAAGTGCCGGAAGAAGTAAGCGAACAAGTAGAGATAAAGAAACCGAAAAAGAAAAAATCTATAGAAGAAGAGACAGCTGATGAAGTCACTATTAAGAAACCTATGCCTGTAGAAAAAGAAGAAGAAGAGATTATAGAGGAGGTTACATTGAAAAAGAAGAAACCTAAAGAAAAACCAGTATTAGAAGAAGTGAAGGAAGAGGTTACATTGAAAAAACCAGTACCAAAAGAAAAAATGGCGGAAGAAGTAAGCGAACAAGTAGAGATAAAGAAACCGAAAAAGAAAAAACCGGTAGAAGAAGAGGCAGCTGATGAAGTCACTATTAAGAAACCTATGCCTGTAGAAAAAGAAGAAGAAGAGATTATCGAGGAGGTTACATTGAAAAAGAAGAAACCTAAAGAAAAACCAGTATTAGAAGAAGTGAAGGAAGAGGTTACATTGAAAAAACCAGTACCAAAAGAAAAAATGGCGGAAGAAGTAAGCGAACAAGTAGAGATAAAGAAACCGAAAAAGAAAAAACCGGTAGAAGAAGAGGCAGCTGATGAAGTCACTATTAAGAAACCTATGCCTGTAGAAAAAGAAGAAGAAGAGATTATCGAGGAGGTTACATTGAAAAAGAAGAAACCTAAAGAAAAACCAGTATTAGAAGAAGTGAAGGAAGAGGTTACATTGAAAAAACCAGTACCAAAAGAAAAAATGGCGGAAGAAGTAAGCGAACAAGTAGAGATAAAGAAACCGAAAAAGAAAAAACCGGTAGAAGAAGAGGCAGCTGATGAAGTCACTATTAAGAAACCTATGCCTGTAGAAAAAGAAGAAGAAGAGATTATCGAGGAGGTTACATTGAAAAAGAAGAAACCTAAAGAAAAACCAGTATTAGAAGAAGTGAAGGAAGAGGTTACATTGAAAAAACCAGTACCAAAAGAAAAAATGGCGGAAGAAGTAAGCGAACAAGTAGAGATAAAGAAACCGAAAAAGAAAAAACCGGTAGAAGAAGAGGCAGCTGATGAAGTCACTATCAAGAAATCTGTGCCTGTAGAAAAAGAAGAAGAAGAGATTACAGAGGAGATTACATTGAAAAAGAAGAAACTTAAAGAG